TGAGCTAAAAGTTGACGAAAGACTTTCGTAAAATGGGTATACACTATTGTCTGTTCATCTGAGTCTGAGAGGTGTTGTCTGTTCATCTGAGTTTGAGAGGTGGATTTCAACAGACCAACATCAGACTTTAGCTTTATTAAATCATTCATAATATTCATAAACTGATGTTTCACACTGTACGCTCCTAAACCCCAGGGAAAAAATAGTTAATCCAAAAATGAAAATTCTGTCATCATTTATTCACCCTCAAGTTTGTTCTAAACCTGGGGGAAAATAATTTAACTGTTTGGTTACCAACATTCTTCAAAATAGTGGGTGTTCACGCACATGTCTCAGCCACAATGGCTACCGGCAACTGTTTGGTTACCAACATTCTTCAAAATAGTGGGTGTTCACACACATGTCTCAGCCACATCACAAAACATGATCTTTCTAACTAAGATCAATTATACAGCAAAATTCTAATTTAAGCCATGGGCACAGTTGCCAGGGCAATTATAATAAATTCATGTTAACTATATGGAGCAAACCATAAAGTGAAGGGCTGCTCTCTTCCCACCCAGTCACAGACTGTAATTAGAGTGTACAGTGAAGCTTAGAGAAACCCCCCATCTGAACTACAAATAGATCAGCCCTGTAATGACCGTCGGTGCTGCGGCCAGTAGACCTGAAGCCTGTTTAGACAGCCATAAATAGGAGGTGTATTTACCAGGAGGGGCTCTTACAGTTCCAGAGCACAGAATACAGAGCATCACTTATCATCTACACACCTACTGCTTCATAAAAACCTTATTTTTAACTATCACACTCTGGAAACTACTCAGAAATTCTTCTAATAAATAAACACACTATATCTAAGTATGACAACTCACAGGACTGCTGACTTTTGGCTTTGTTGGTGGCCTTGTTGGATTCACACCAGACAGTGACTCCGTCATTCATCAGCTTTAGCATGCGCTTCCTCTTCCAGCGTGGAGAACGTACCTTCGTCATAGAGGACCCCTGCAGCATTGTTTCCACATCATCATCATCCTGGACCCCTGCAGAGTTCATTAATAAGTCTGATGATTGTGGCACTCTAAAAATCATATTAGATTCCTATGCAACAAAACTACAAGCTCTGAGCAAACAGTGAAATCCAGCATTTGCATTTGAGCTGCCATTTATTCAGAGCAAATTAATTACCACAGTTTTCTCCATGTAACTAATCAAAACAAGTCTGCATATTCACTAGTATGTAACCATAACATCACTTAATGTGAGTGAAAGCAAAAATAATTTCACCACAATTATACCAATGTTTTGTGTGGTTTAAAAAACTGCAATAAGTCAAAAAGTAAACGAAAGAAAGAGAGAAAGAAATAAAGAAATTTGAACTGCATGCATTTGGTAAAAAAAAAAGGGACCACTGTATAACAGCACAAGTTACAATTTGCTAAAAGTTCACAATCTGGTAAAAACACCAAAAATACAGCATATTTATTATAGCAATGTTTAAAGCTTGCTCAATAGTCACATGACTAATAGTCAACCACTGTATACTAAAAACGACAGCAATCTATTTTGAACCCCCTTACAGAATTTAATTGTCTGAATTATTATGAGCACTCTACTAAGTCCCAATACAATTAGCTCTCAATTTATTCCAGGAAGTGATAAATAACCTCTTGAAATGGATCCCAAAGGGGTCTTTTATTTAATTCCTCTGCTAGTTCTTTATGAGGATTCACTATTGTATCTGCTTAACATATTAGTCAGTCCCTTTCAGGGAAAGGGACAGCAATTTGAGACATTGTGGTATATCTAGAATATATATTTTCTAGATATATTTTCTTGGTTTATATAGTTTATAGTTTATAGCTTTAACTATATAAGACAATGCCAAAGGCCAAAGCCAGGAAAACTCAAATGTCATAAAAAGAGCCATTTTCATTGACCATGACCAATGAAATGATCAGTGAAATGAGAATTGCCCATTGTGGTAGAGCCCACACAAATACAAAACTAAAATAAATATAACTGTGTGAAACCTTACAAAAAAATAAAAATAAATAAAATAATAATAATAATAATAATAATAATAATGTCTTACCCATTTTTATCAGGGGATCGTCTGGTTTAAATTGGGACGTCCCGGCTCCATTCTTCTTTCTCAACATGATGCAGTAGGTCCTCTTGCGTCTTAAACTGGAGAGTGTATGTGATAAACGGCTGGTTGTCTAGATAGTGTGCTGTGCTGATGCAGCTCTATCTGTATATATGTCAGGAAACGGAATAGACACTGCCCGTTTAATGAGCTCACGAATGTTAAAGAGCTGCTACTGTTATGACATCACTTTACATTGGCTTCGGTTTTTATTTCAGTCTACGATGTACAAAAATTCTAACCTACATAAATATAACGATAGAAACTGGTGCCGCTTAAAAGCATATAAAGCACAGATTTAGGTGTCCAATAAAGACGTTCTTGTCCTATTTATGCTCTAGAGCTGAATCATAAACAACGATTTATAAGAGCAGCTCGTTTAAATGGGATTAGACACAGACACAGAAAAATAAATAATAATACAGCTACTATATCTTCAATTCAAAACGCAAATACACCGACAATTTATAAAAAACGAGTTGAAAATGGCTGGACTACATTATGAATTTTTACCATATACAGCGATGTGCAGACGATCCTGTGCTGAGATTAGGATTAACAAAATGTCTCCCTCTAGCGATTAAAAAACAACCAACTCGAAACTGATCAAATTAATTATTTCAAGCGTAAGGTACAAAACAAGTTTAACGTTTGTATTAATGTTTTGCCAGCTACAGTAATGATTAATGCATATATTTGACCTTTTTATTTAAATCCAAACAGTTTTCAGAAAATATGTTTGCCTTAAAGTGTGCAAACTAAACGCACCAATAGTGAGAATCGCCACTGAAAGACGTTTAAAGGCAAACACTAAAACATAAATATTTTCTCACAAAACGATATGCATTTTTTTTATTCTTACTGTTAAAATAGGCTGTCAACATAATAAAATAATCACACACCTTCTTTAATATTAACTAATTAAGTGAGTAATTAATTGTCAAACATATTTACATGTTAACTTTGACGACGTAAAACTGCATTTTTGTAGGCTAAAATATTATTATTATTATTTTTCAAACAGATTTTCTCAGCTTCTTTCTCTTTCTTATCTAGTTTGGAACAGAGGCCAATCATCGTCGTAATACTCTATCACGTGACTGAACCAGGAAGTGATCTCCTGGCCGAAATTCCAAGTGGTGGTGAAAGATCACCTTTTTTAGAAGACAGCATAATGCAGTTCTCAAACTCACTGATTGTACAAGGTGCACCGCTTTGATGTAATGTGATCGGTCGTTATATTGTCTTATTACAGTTATATGGTAGGGTTCGTGTGTAATGGCAGCAGGAGTAACGTTACAGTAACGTTAAAGTGTTACAGGGCTGGTGAGTTGAAACTCGCTTACTCTGCTTGACCCACTGGCTAATAACCTCAGATCAGAGAGGACATAAAATCTAAGTCTCCTGGAAGACGAATACAATTTATAATGATTAAATTATTGTAATCGTACAAGCAACCTGAAAGAAAAATTTCTTCCGAGACTTGATTTATGAATGACCGAATGACACATTTGTCACCAGTGAATATAATTAACAGGTTGTCTAGTTAATGAACATTCGGCTGCAGGAGTGTGGGAAAAATAGACACCATATGATATGTCATCTCTTATTGTCAAAGATCGAGGACTGTCAAAGGCGCTTTCAGGCGGCTGTCGGCGTCATTCAAAGCCTACCCAAAAATGGTAGCTTTGCCCAGCATTTGCAAAAATTACATTATTGGTGAATGACATCATCACTGTTATGTACAATAACATCATTCTTTTGTAGCAGATATAAAATGTACACAGCTTGTTATTGCAAGCATCTCTATAAATGATATAAGTCTACCTCATCACACTGATTTGCATTATTTGCAGCAGCTCATTTAATTTACCAGGGGTAAATTTTAAATTGCACTTGCACAGGTTCCTACAGACCACATCATCACTGTTATGTACAATAACATCATTCTTTTGTAGCAGATATAAAATGTACACAGCTTGTTATTGCAAGCATCTCTATAAATTATATAAGTCTACCTCATCACACTGATTTGCATTATTTGCAGCAGCTCATGACTCCAGGGGTAAATTTTAAATTGCACTTGCACAGGTTCCTACAGACCCTCTTATGAAGTGATGCTGCGGTTTTATGGTCTATACAAACAGGTAGTCTGTGGACCATGTACAGCGTCACGCCCAGGATTCTGGGACCCTGTAGGCCGTTACAAATGGTAATGCTTTTAAGAAGTTATAAACATCATATTCAAGTGCTATAATGTGCCTAACTAAAGTACATGTGATGGTCTTCAGAGCCCTCAGAACATTAAAGACTGGTTTAACTTCATGGCATGTTTTTCTGGTCTTGTGTCAGGGATGCTTGGAATCAGCTTGGAGACATGAGTCGGGAGAGTGCCATGGCTGCTTATGTGGATGAAATGAAGGAAGTTGCACAAGAGGTGGGAGAGCTTCGATAATATATCATATAAGATATTCATAAAACAACTTGAGGGAAAAGTAAGTTTAGCAAAAATGTTCTCTAAATCAAATGTATTGTCAGAGCAGCCAAGCAAATTATTTTTTTCCATATAAATACAGTGGGTACGGAAAGTATTCAGACCCCCTTCAATTTTTCACTCTTTGTTATATTGCAGCCATTTGCTAAAATCATTTAAGTTAATTTTTTTTCCTCATTAATGTACACACAGCACCCCATATTGACAGAAAAACACAGAATTGTTGACATTTTTGCAGATTTATTAAAAAAGAAAAACTGAAATATCACATGGTCCTAAGTATTCAGACCCTTTGCTGTGACACTCATATATTTAACTCAGGTGCTGTCCATTTCTTCTGATCATCCTTGAGATGGTTCTACACCTTCATTTGAGTCCAGCTGTGTTTGATTATACTGATTGGACTTGATTAGGAAAGCCACACACCTGTCCTCAATAATAAGATAGGTCGAGCTACAGCTGATCAGCCTTCTAGCTAGTTTAAAATGTTTTTTTTTTCGACCGGACCCGATTAAAACATAAGTGACAAATAATAATAACCAGCGAACCATGGAAATGCGAGAATGATTCTTCTAATTTTATTAAACTACATTCAATGTAAACAGCGATTTATAATGGATAGTGTATGTATTTCTGGTATCAAGGTTGCGCTGTTGAAGCTCACTCTGTTTGTCTTTTTGTGAGAGACTTCAAAACAAATGAGCGTAACAGCACACATAAAGAAACTCAGAAGAAACACACTGAGGTAAAAATTCAAAATGCTTAGTTTATTCGTAACATGATATAGTTAAGTAACACCATGACAAGTGAGCTATTTTGCTCAATATTCTCACGATGCAAAACATTCAAAACACTTACAGAGTGCACGCATTACGTGAAGTCTAGTGTTCTAGCGCTCTTTCACTGCATGATTCAGTCTATTAAAATATAAAAATATATTCAGAATGATCACTAATTCAATACATGGGGCAGAAAATTTTAATATTTATACAACTTCATATAGTTAATCAATTTCACATGAAGAGCCCGTTTTTTCTCCACAAAATTACCATAATTCTCCATAAAAGTGTGTTATTGATTTTTTTTTTACAACAGTACAATAAACTATAAGTTAATTAAGAGACTTAAGTTTTAGACACCATATTGCCTGTTTTTGCAC